AATTCCCAATTGGTATCAAGAGTCAGAAGATGTAATAATTGTCAATTAATTAAATGAGTAAACAATATTGCTCCATAAAAGTAAGCTAATCACTTCTCATATCTTATATAGGGGTGAGATTCATATACAGTACTTTATAACATTAATTCCTTATGCAAAGTTAACTACTTTGGATTCTCTAATAATTTTGTTCAGTTAGAGAAATAAGGCGTCAATTTAGACTTTTAAAAAATACCATAAACTCTCTTATCCAATATTGCTAGGAAATGAGGTATACTGAAAAATCAAATATTAACAAAAAAGTTACCATTACATGACAAATGTAAACTACCAATTTCCAGATAATTAAAATACAGTAAAATTAAGATCATTTAAAAATAATTTTATCTTTCTTTGATTATTCAAAGGATACTTATGGATCTCTATAATACTCACAAAACATAGAACCCTAAATGACCTACAAAACAGTTTGCTAACTCCTTAAAAACAGGCAGCTAGTGGTTATCAGTGGATAGAGTGCTGGGCCTAAAGTTAGGAAGATGTGAGTTTAAATTAGCCTCAGACACTTACTGCTGTGATCCTGGGCAAGTCACTTAACCTCTCTCAGCCTCTCAGGTTCCTCATCTGTGATATGGGAATAATAATACCATCTACCACCCAAGCTTCTTGTGAGGCTCAAATGTGACATTTGTAAAGTGCTTATCAGAGTACCTATAATATGCACTATAGAAATATTAGCTATTGTTATTATTAAAATTGGGTAACAATTTAACAGATGAGACAGTGAAAAGAGTATATTCTTAACTGAAGATCTGACAATGACCTCTTGTTTCTATATAAGTGATGATGTACACAATTGTATTTTCACTGGAAAGGTTATAATAGAATAAGCTTTATTCAAATATCCAAGAGAAAAAGAATATGTCATTTGTATGGAACCATCCAAATCAAATTTATAGTCAGGCTAACTTCTGATCAATATTTGATCCATACTTTTCAGGAGTACCATGTTCCTGAACCTTTGTAGATATGAAGAAAATGGGTGCTTTTGTCACTGCATAATATTCTAGTCAAGTAATGGAACAAAATGTTTACTATAAATGGAGGCACTTGTTCTATGCCATTTAATATTCCTAAATCATAAAATATTCATTTGAATGATTATATCCTAAGAAATGATGGTTCTAATGCCTATCAATAAAAATCTCTACTGAAAAGCATTATCCTCTGAAATAAATTGAGGTCCCACTAGGACTCCCCTGGAACTACTTGTGGCTTGTTTTAAAGTTCCTTAGGCTCAGTTCATGATTACTTCATTTTAACCTCCATTCAGTCTCTATGTGGTATGAGAGAAGAGGAAATCTCAATAAATCTCTCTCTTTGTCTCTCTCTCTGTCTCTCTCTCCCTCTCAACTTATTTATACACATGCATATACATATATCAAAATTACAGATAACTGAAGATTAACCTTCTACCAGCCACAACTATTTAGAGCAGAGGGGAATCCAGATAGTCAAAACGCTTCTTGGTGTTTCTGAAGATAGCTATTATAGATTATGCTGAAAGGACTTTGTAATAATAATAATTGCTAGCACTTATATAGCATTTACTATGTGCCAGGCACTGTGCTAAATGCTTCACAATTATTATTTCATTTGATCCTCACAATAACTCCATTTGACAGATAAGGAAACTGAAACAAACAAAGGTTAAGTGACTTGCCCTGAGTTACACAGCCAGTAAGTGTCTAAGGCTGAATTTGAACTCAAATCTTCCTGACTCCAAGCCTAATGTTTAAGAGAAGGCCCTTAGGTCCTCACCCAAGTAGATGTGGAAAACAAAGCAGTATATTAGAAGCCAGAGAGCACACCAACATCAACCAAATGTGACAACTAACAGCAGAAGGAGACAGAAGAACTATAAAATGCAGACAGAAGAACTAATACTGATAAAGCACTAATTAGGTCCATTTAGTGAAGAAGCAAACACCCTTTTATGGCTCAACAAACCCTAAGTGGATCAATACTCTACTATTTCCCCAAAATGCTAGCACAAGCTAGCAAAATTGATATCTTTATGATGATTCTTTGTCACTAAGAAATGATTAAATTATGTTCAATGTACTCTAAAGGAGACGTCTCACGTATCTTAGATAGAAAATCTAAGAAAAGGTTTAGCATTAAAAGGGTGAATTTCAGTTATACAGTAAAACTACTTATACGGAATGCTTAATGTAGTTTGAAATATCAGATAATCAATATTATAAAAATATCTAAAAATTGATTATGTAAAAAATAACTACAAAAGGCACTCCCAATTCAGTAAAATATAACATGGCCTTTGGTGGAAAATAGTTAGGGCCACAAATTTTGACCACGATGGATAAAGGTTTGATTTATAATATGTATTACTATTCCTGCATTAGTATGAAAAATTTCTACTTATAGGATCATAAATTTAGAATTGGAAGAGCCTTTCAAGGCCATTGAGTCTAACACCTCTCCCCACCCCAACCCAATCTGCTCATAAAGAAAATGAGACACAGAGTATTTAAGTGACTTGTCCTGGGTCATTCAGCTCGTAAGTGTCTAAGACAAGATTTAAACTCAGGTCTTCCTGACTTCAGGTCCAGAGTACTATCTGTTCAACCTCTTAGCTAGCTGCCTTCAAAAATCTTTTTTCATTTGATTCCCCCAGTACAAAAGGAAAACGATGACTACACATATTTCTACATTTCAATTATCTTATCTGCACTCTCTAGCCACAATTTTATAATAGGTAAGAGATGTTAAATTTGCCATCACTCCAAAGTATGGAGAGGAACAATGTTATTTAATAGCATTCTTTTAAGTGTCTCACATTAGAAAAAGGTCAAATCCCAATACATAGAAGATTAAAAATGTCAATTTACATAAGGACATTATTTTACCTATTAAAAAAAAATGAGAGCCACATCAATCAGTGGTGAGTGCCCACAGTGATCTAGGTGGCACTTATTCCACAGTGCCCTGCCCTCAACAAGCTTGCACTTGACCAAGTCAAATATACCCCATCATCTTTTCTTGTGGTGTTTTTGGTTTAAGTTTTTGGTATTCATTTGTTATATGGGGTTTTTTATACAATGAATATTGTACCTAACCCTTGACATTTCTAAACTCAAAACTGATCACAAGGTCCTTCATTTCCTACTTCATTTTTCTACTTACTAAAATGGGTACATCATTAATTTAAATCTTTTTACAGCTTTTCATACAGGAACTTTGCCTCTTTACTTCTTCCTTGTTTATTCTCTAAAAATCCCTTTTATGAGATAGGTATCCTAAATTCCATTATTCAGACAAATCTGTTTCTTGTCTTTATACATAATAAATCCACTGTTATCAAAATGTAGGAAGCCACCCACCTCAGTCCCATGGACTTTTCAGGTTTCCACAAGTGATGAAGAGAAGTAACACTGTTAAGGCTGGGAAAAATCTAATTTCAGACTGATAACACCATAGGAACAAATTCTTAAAGTGATAAAATCTTTCTATTTGAAAAGTATCTAGTCGATGATTTGAAATATTTTAAATGGTCTTTTTAAAAAATAAATTTTCTCACAATCTAGTTATTCCTTTGTGTTTCTAACCACTGCAGTTTTCACATTTTAAAAAATACATGAAAATGTCTTCAGATTTTATATTTATTTTAACCCTACATCTTGATCATTTAACCCTACATTCTAATATTTTAGCAAATAAGCAGGCTATTTCACATGAAAAGACATGTCAAGTGCTGCGGTCAGAAGTTTTGAATCTTCTATTTAACAAATCAATATCTTGGCTCATCTTCCATCATAATGTGTTGGCTGACCTGGGAAGATATATTTAACTGGATAGAAATGTTTTCATGGATCAGGATAGCCAAGAAAAGTATTTTTAAAAATTCAGGGAGAGAAACAAACTGAAAGAACCTAAGATTATGATGATTGGTAGTGCACCAACTATGCTATAAGACAATCAATACAATTTAGTTACATTTCAGTAACTTTTAATATGGCTGAATTTGAATTCTGCTTCTAATACTATATGTATGTATCCACATTTGACACTCTCATTCTTAACCACCAAAGGAAGTTTTCATTCGCACTAACAGAAATCCTTCAACTACAAAAGGAAAATAAATTCATGACATTTAGCATCTCAACAACTTGAGGTTTCAACTTACCTTCTTGTAAATGGAAGATAGTTTGTCTTACAAATCTAGATTCTTCAAAAACTCATCCCCTCAAACAAACAGTTTCAACTTGAGCTACATAGCCCATTTTCAAATTTTCTGAAACTTCGATTGCTCATTTTCTCAAAGCTGAAAATGCCAATTTGAGTGGGATTTTATGAATATCAGAGTTCAGATCTTCATAATTTCAAAGAAATACACACTGCAGAATTTTCACCAGAAAGAAAGATAGCATGTAGTTTTCTAACATGGTACAAAATGAAAATTTCCCATAAGGTGAGCCTAACTTATTGGCAGATGCTTTGGACAATCTTGGTGGGAAGGGAAAGAGAAGTTGGTTCCAAGACTTACACATACCAACAAAAATAACTTGTATACTTTTTTCCTAACTAAATTGCTATTAAAGAAAAAAAACAACCAAAAAAAGGGTACCTACTTTCCTTCACAGCTAGTGCTTCAAAATTAGCCCAGTCCCAATGGCCACTTGATATTCAAAGGGAGTCTGTTTTGTTTCCTAGTTTTGTAGCAATGGGGCACTCCATACCTGAGAGATTCTTTGACATCTAACGGGTTTGCCATCTGATTTCTGACAACCTTCATGTAAAATCAACTTAAAGAAGACAAAAGGCCTTTGCACCAAAGAGGTGAAAACCTTCAAGCCTTTGCCCTCTGAAATACATATTTACTTTCAGCAAAATAAACAGAAGTAAAACCGAGAGAAGGGACTCCCTTAACTGACAGAGTTTTTCAATTACTCCTCAAAAGAATGAAGTTCGCCTCTCACCTTCCATCCTCCTGCTACTGCTGGGGCTGCTACTGCTCCTGGGGCTGCTGCTGCTCCACGTGCTCCTCCAGACTCGCTGGGATCCTGCACTGCAGCTGGCGGGAGATTCCCTGAGCAGGGACTTCCCCTCTGGATACATTCGAGTGGCGTCAGCAGAGCTTTAAAGTGACAGGAACTAGGTACGACTTCTGTGTATGAGGTTAGAGCGGCGCTGGCTGGTGGTGGCCTTTTTAAAGGACTTTTATTACAAAGCGGTGCCTGAGAATCATATATTCCTTTTAGTTTTCCCTCTTAAATGTCAAACTTGTGAACCAAAACGTGAGCCTCTTTTTTGGAAAGAGAAGGGGTGGTGGAAGAGTGGCTGCTTCTTTGTTACTTCGTAAAGGAAACTATGCACTAATGATTGTGTTGAAATAGTAGCAAAAACTCTTATGTTAGAAGAATGCGTGTGAATGTATAATACTGTTTTAGGGAGAAAGGTTTTTGTTGATGATTTGGTTTTCTCCTTTTCATTCAAAGGGTTTAACTAGACATGCTTAAATAAAGTCTCCCACAAATTTCTAATACATCTTTCATTCTGGACTCCTCCTAGAATTTATATTCCAACTTGTATTATAATCATTTGCATAATTATCTCCACCTATCCTCTCCCCATTCCTATCTAGAAGTTACTTGAGGACAGAGATGGTGTCTAGTTACCATCTTTATTCCTTAAAACCTAGCTCATAATAGGCTAATGATTAATGTTTGTTAAATTTGGGTTGAATATGTCTTGGACTTAAAAATGGACTGGGAACAGATAGTCAATACTAAGCAATTTTTTAACCTTTTCATATATTTTGTTCCTTTCTGTTCTTAACCACTATAGTCTTCACGTGTTAAAAACTGCATTAAAAAAAAAACACCCAAGCACAAGTTCTCCAAGTGACCTATATGTAAGCAAAGTGATGTTTTGAAAAAAGTTGTAGAGGGGTGGCAAGCAAGATGGTTTCTTCTCAGAGCTGGTGTTGCCACTGTCCCTGGGCCTCAATTCAGGCAAGCCCCCAGGGGCTACACTTGAACTTGTTGACTATTTTATACTCAGAACTACCAAAATGACAAACCTCCAACAACAAGATGTTGTTTTTTACTTAACTTTCTCTTTATTTCAGGACCAGAAAGGCATGAAGAATTAACTAGTAAGGAAGGAGGAAAGGGAGGAACTATTCTTCATATTTAAAAAAATTAACCAAATTAATGGAGTAAACAAAATTGCAGAAAATCTATTTAACCTATTTAAAGGAACAAACTATTTTAAAATACTTTAAGAGTATTCACTCACATATATTTGATACACTAATTACAAATTGTTCTTATATGTTCATTAAAGTAGGTCCTTAAAGGATTCTGACAACTCTTGATAAGATGTTGTAGCAAAGCAAGCTGTACTCAAGGGATTCCTAGTTTCATATACAATCTTGTCCTTACTATGCATATGGCAAAACCCATTTTTATTAAGTTCAAAATAAAAATTATTTATTTTCTAAAAATGTTTTAGATCTGGGTTTTTTTAACCTTTTTGTGTGTATCATAGATACCTTTGGCAGTCTGGGAAAACCTATAGAATCCTTTTCAGAATAATATGTTTAAATGCACAAAATAAAATGCATAGGATTACAAAAGAAACCAGTTATATTAAAATAAAGATGTAATATTTTCCAAATTTATGGATCCCTTGAAATATATCAATGGACAAAGGGATATATGGATCTCTGGTTAAGAACCTGTTTTAAAATATGAGCTTTCTCTTAAGAAATGTACTAAAACAAAACATTCGCAACTACTTAATCACTAATTTTGAGTTCTAGAAAATGACAGTAGATTTGCTGATCCATTAACATGTAAGAAAAAACAGTATCTAATAATAATAATAATAGCTTACATTATAGTGCTTTGGGAGCAGCTTGGTATTGAAGTAGATAGTTTGCCAAACCCGGAGTCAGGAACACTCATCTTCATGAGTTCAAATCTGCCCTCAGACACTTCCTAGTTGTGTGACCCTGAGCAAGTCACTTAACCCTGTTTGCCTCAATTTCCTCATCTGTAAAATGAGCTGGAGAAGGAAATGTCAAACTTCTCTAGTATCTTTGCCAAGAAAACCCTAAATGGGGTCACAAAGAGTTGGACACGACTTGACAACATACAGTGTATTAAAGATTCCAAAGAACTTTATGCACATTCTTACTTGATCCTCACAATAAGCCTCTGATGTAAGTTCTATTATTATCCCTGTTTTATAAATGAGGTGACTGAGGCCCAGAGAAGTTAAGTGACTTGTCCAGGGTTACACAGCAAGTATATGAGATAGAATTCAAAACCAGCTCTTACTAATTTTAAACTCTGCACTCCAAGCACCATATGACCCTCCATCTATGTATTGTGTCAGCATTTTTGTTTAGCATCATGAGACGTACAAACAAAAATACATCTGAGGTGGTACTGAGTGGGAGAGAAAAAGTAATATATTTGGAAGCGAAGGACTTGATCTGAATTCCAACCATTTTATATGTCAAGTAGGGCAAATCACTTAAGTTCTCTGGGCCTCGGTTCATTTGTTTGTAAAAGGATAGGATTGGACTAGGTAATCTCTAAATTCCCTTCCAGCTCCAAATTCTATGTGCCCAACATTCTTATTAGAATTTTCTGAAAGGCTCTGAGTGGCTAACAAAGGCTCTGTCATGGTGCCATCTCAGAAACGTCTATTTTCATTTATGGCGTTAAGTAATTCAGTTTTCTCCCCCTTCTAGGACCTCTTTGTTCATTCCACAAGCATTTATTAAAACTGCCTACTATGTGCCAAAGATTGTGCTAGATATACAAAGACCAAAAAAAAAAATCCCTGCTGTTAAGGATTCTTTTTGTTTTTCAGAATATAAATTCAGATAAGTTAATACCAATTACACACCAAGTAAGTCAAAAACAATTTAGCCTGTCGTCTATCAGTCACCAAAATATTACAGAAATGAATGATTCTAAAATAAGCTATTGCAAGCCTTTATGAGATATGTGCTTTGCTTTCTTGCATGTGTAGGTGTCCTATATTTGGGGTTGAAAGTTGTTAATATTAATGAGGTTACTGCATTAGCAGGCCATGTCAGAACATATTCACATTTGCAGCTAAAGAATATATGTTTTGGTTTGGGGTTTATTTTCCTTTGCCCCTAAATATGTCTTGCAACCAGTAGTCACTCAATAATAATGTTGAATGAATGGATAAACTTGCATTTTCTTTTACGGTTATGACAAAATAGTAGCATCTCAAAGCCTTGTTTTGGCTGAAGTTTTCAAAGGATAATGCTAATTTCACAGCATTGCTGTAAAACACTCTAATTTTAGTGCAGAAAGAGGAAATTTGTTATTTGTTAGCTTCTAAAAGCAAAAATAGCACATCAAAAAGTAGAAGAGGAACTGTAAAACTTTACAGGGATGGTGTGAGGATGAATGTTTTTTTTTAAATACCTTCATATCTCTCCTGCAAATGTATTTTATGCATGTTTTAATCACACAATTCAAAGTCTGTTTCTTAAAGTCTGGATTAAATATTAGATATTTCAAACTTGTGAGAGAGTACTGTGTAATGTTAATTAAATTGGAATATCAGTGGAAAAAATCCAGTTACAATGATTAGTTATTACTTTGCTCATCCCTTTCCTAGGATTTTATTCTTTTCTGTCTCACAAACTTAACAAAACTTAGGTAATTAAAATGTTTATCATCATTTGGGAGATACTCAAAGACTGGGCATTATGGTAACAGTGAGTAAAACTGGAATAACACGTTTCTGAGCAACAGAATATAAATTCAGGCTAAATTTGCTTCCATCTCCTCTAGAACAAGGGGACAGTTGAGACTGAGACTCGAATCTTGAAACATGGGGTAAACCGACAAAGGGTGGGTCTGACTCACCGAATCACTCTTCACACTATCGCCATGCAGGCAAAATTACCGCTGACTAAAATTGAAAATCACTGACAAAGGCTCCTCTTGGACTATCTGAAAGAGTCCTAGGACTGACTCGGCTTAAAGGAACTAAAACTGAAAACCCTCAATCTCACCCCAAATAATCATTCTGCACCCCGTCTGAACCTTGGGCTCTATCCCACCCACAGACATGCCAAAAATCAGAAACAGGCGGGGGTTGTCTCTCTACAATGAAGGATAGCCTACCAAAGAAAGAGGTTACTCTCATTACTCCCCCCCCTCCCCATCTCCATCCCTATCCCCACCGGCACTCCATCATACCCCAGGGGTCTGAAGGAGCCTCTGAGGCTTAGCCTTGATGTTTTGGGCTCATAGTTTTTTGGGGCTGTTTACATGCTCTCTAAAAGCTTTCTATGGGGATATTCGCAGTGTTTGATTAGTCCAGCCCAGGGGGAGAAGGGGGGAAGAGAGGGAAAGAATAGCCAAGCTTTGGTTGCTACGGCAACTGATGACAAGAGCCAAGCCGTGACCGTGAGGAGGAAAGCGGGGAGCCTCCTTCACACCTTCTCCCTCTTCCAGGCCTCGCTTTGCGCTCTCCCGGCAGCACGCCTGGACCGGCCTCGGCTTGGGGGATGGGGTGGGGTGGAAGAATGACTACTGGTGCTTGCTTTCGGACAAGATTTCATGAGAAGAAATGGAGAGAGCGTTCCCACGCGAGGCTGTCTCTTCGAGCGGTTCTAGGAGAAAATTCTCTTCACACGTTGGAGACCATAGACAGCGAGGCGGAGGGGGGCGCGGTGTCATCGCGGTGTCCCCCGACCACCTCCCTCCTCCCTCAACCCCGCCACTAGAAGAGCTTCCTTTCCCTCTACTCTCTTCTTCCCTCAGCACTCTCCTTTCCTTCTGCCTGCAATTTAACGGACTTTGCCGTGGAGGCGAGAAAGGCCGCCTTTCGCTCGCGCGGGGACTGGCGCCCAGTGCACGATCCAGGCCCTCGTATGAGATGCCACTCCCAGCTCACTAAGCAGCCCCTCGTACGAGATGCAGCCTCTAGCGCGCGCCTGGCGTCCAGCCTACGGTTCAGCCCCTGGCACAAAACAGTGCAGGCCTAAGCTCGACGCAAGCCCATAGAACGTGGCCAAACGTCCTGCGCGCGATGCAACTCCTAGCTGATCCGCATCCGAGCGCGAGATACATCCCCAAGCGCGCGGCTCAGCCCCGAGCACCAGCCACAGCCCCTAGCGCGCGGCCCAGCCCCGAGCACCAGCCACAGCCCCTAGCGCGCGGCCCAGCCCTGAGCACCAGCCACAGCCCCTAGCAGCTTGCTCTAGGCCAGACGACCCGAGCGCGGACGGAAGGCCGGAGCGGTTTCCAGGGAACACTGAGTTGGCGAGGAGGTGGCTGGAGGAGGGCGGGATGAAGCCAAGGTGAGGAGGTCATCACGTCCCCCCCCGACGCCTCCCTCCCATCTCCACCTTCCTTTGGATGAAAGTCTCCAGGCAGTGGAGCAAGGCTGGGCCCTTTTTCCTGCGGTCTTCCTGTACCTTGCAGGAGGTAGGCCAGGATAATATCCCATCCCTCAAAGGAGGACACTCTTAGGATCCCAGACCTCATCCACCCTGGAGTTTCTTTTGCTTATTGTTCC